GGGTGGGAAGGGTCCTTCCCGAAGGTGGGAAAACCTGGGAGCAGCTGGGATTTCTTCTGTGGCACATTAATCATAAAATATGTTGACGCACATCTTTGATTCTTCCTTTTTTTTTCAGAGCCTCTCTATGAAGTTGCTTTGTGAGTACAAATTTCACCTGGGACATTAAGAAGACTTCGAGGGCATTGTATTGATATCTGGTTTTAAAAAAAAAAAAGCCTCTTTGCTCAGTGAAAAGCCAAAGATTTCTTGGACTTGCTGGGGGAGGAGCTGAGTACCTTGACGGTCCATTTAGTTAGCAGCATGGGGACATTCACATTTTAGTGCGGGAGGCAGCAAGAGAGAGTCTGTTCTTTAATAAGTTCGAATGAGAGACAGGTGCTCTGGGTCCTTCACTCTGCCTTGCGGATGCCATGGGAAGGCTGTTCTATAGTGAATTCCCACTGTTATTTCACAAAGCAAAGGCCAGGAATTCTCAGCTCTTCCCTCCAGGTAAGTTCCTTCTATACATGCCTTTCTCTTTAAGAAACACGTCCTAGTGCTTATCCAGGTATTATTTTGTGCAATTCCTATTTGCTTACAGTTACACGAACGTATCTTCTGCCCTGTCCTAGTCTCAGCCTCTACTCCCTTCATGCTGCTTTGCTATTCAGAGACATGCCTTAGCCCCCCGCAGCCTCACACAGCCCCACTTTTCCCAGTCATTGCCAGCAGTGACTCCCTAAAGGCTGGACTCTCTGCTGGTAGTCTTCTGGGTATATGATAACGCCATCAGAGATTATGGTGCCAATGTTAACTGCCTATTGCTGCTTTTTGTCTGTGAAATTCTTCTACTGTTACTTTCCAGTGTCTTTCAGAGCCTCCCAGGCCCTCACTAGGTTCATATACATTTTGCTGTTCTATTGCTACCACAATTACGTGGTAGATCTTGTCTTCAACTGAGATATAAATCAAATGGCTTCCAATTCAGTTGTCCATCTCAGTAGTGCCTCTCTGTTGTTTCAGCCATAGCACTGCAGACAGCACGAGATTGGAGACTGAAGTGGAAGTCCCTGTTAAGTGCCTACGCACGGAGACAAATTCTGAGACCGAAACATCCAATGACACTTTCACCGTGAAGGACAACAGCTGTGACAGCATATGCATCGGGAACAACTCTGAGTATGAGAACCTTGTGACTGCAATGGAATTGGAGTACGAAGCAGAAAAAATTTAGCTGAGCACCAACTTCTCCACATGAGCAGCCATGCAGGGCTGCAGACACCAAGTGGTAACCTTTAGCAAAGGAAACTCTTCTTCCTGTCTGCCTTCTGCTCTGGTTAATGTACCGGTCCCACTGCTTTCTTTAACCCAGGGGAAATGCATAACCTTCCTGGGCTTTGGCAAATGAGGCCCTGCCCGTTGGCGCAGAACCCCTCAGCCAAGCGGTTACCTACCTACTTCTATAGAGCAAGTAACTTCTGAGCAGCCTGAAGGGCCAAGGCGAGGACGAGGGCATCTGAAGGAGCGGAAGCCCAAATGCCTTTAGCCTGGAAATCAAGGTGTAGCTGGGTGCAATGCTGCCGGCCCATAACACCAGCAAGGTGTGCTCTCAAGCCTGCGTGCCCCTGCTAGCCCATCCCAGACTGCGAGGAGCCAGGGGCTGTGCTGGAAGCAGACGTCCCCTGGCTTTTACAGCTCAACTAACACTGGTTGTACGTCCTGCTTGCCCTTGCTTGCTTTTTTGTTAGAGCATGGTAAAGGGACTGCAGAAGGGGTTGATGTCCCAGGAATGTCATTTTTGCTGTCAGGCTGCAGCTCATGGATAGAGGACGAGGGAACGTCCCTGTAGGTGATGAGCCTCCTCACTGCCACCCTCTGGTTTTCTCCTGGAAAAGCAGAATTGGTGTTGAAGGAAATGCTAGCGTTTCATTTTTACAGTGTGGGGGGCAGAGGCGTAATAAAAGAGAGGGAAATTTGAGGCATTTGGAATAACGATTGAGCAAGGGTCCTTCCTGGACGCAGCAGACTGACAGGGATGCGCTCTGTGGGACACCGAGTCGGCCTGTCTGATTACAACAGAGTAACGCTGACCTGTGTTACGGGGATGCTGTCAGTGCTCGTGCTTGTAAAACGCCTTGAGAAGCGCTTGGTCAGTACAACGTATTTTCTTTCTCAGGGCAAATACAAAAGGCTTCGAAGGATTTTGTTGCATATGAATTCTGACTTCCTTGGTGTTTCACCGTTCAGCGCTGCCATTTTTACGTTGCCTGCAAATTTATGCTTTTTCTCGGTTTTCTGATCTAACTCTGCGGAACGGGCAGGGGTGCAGTCATGGCCATCGTTTGACTTGGATGTTTGACTTGGGTTTGCCTTTTAAAGAGGAGAGGACAGGAGGGGGGGCATCTGGTCAGCCCCCACCAGCCCCCTTGCACCTCACCGCAGCCCCCAAAGCCAGTCGACAGGGTCTGGGTGCTGCCTCCAGATGCAAAGTCACAAACCTGCCACTGCCTGCTCCTGCGGTGAGAGCCCGGTAAGGCCCTGAGCTCCGTGGTGACATCAGGCTGAGGCCTGGCGTCGGTGGGAAAACGTCATTTCCGTGAGCTGGTTGGGAGCATCAGTGCTTGAGCTGGGTGCGTTTAGGGCTGAAGGTTTGCCAGTAGCACCCCTCTCCCAGACACTTCAGCTGGTTCTAGGGGGTTTTTTTAGGAATTTGTCACTCACAGCAGGGTGTAAAGTGTTATGCTACCAAATCCCTGTCAGAAGGACACTGAGGGTGCTTAATACCAAGTCTCCCTTCCCTGCCAGCGAACAGCCAAAGAAGAGTGGTCATCCAGATGACGTTACAAACTTGGCTGTGATTTAGCTCAGGAGTTAAAATCCTTGATTTTAATTTCACGCCACTGCTCCAACATATTGGTTTGCTCTAGCAAGCAGTTATTTAAAAAAAAATGTTCTGCACCTCCCTGTATTTTTCATCTTGGTGACTCAAATGAAATATTCTCTTCCAAGTGGAAAATATCTCGGTGGCCAACCTGGGCCATGGCTGAGCATGCCACAGTCGCAGCCTTGCAGGCAGGTGACGGCTGTGTTGGCTCCGCAGGGCTGATGGGCGCACATGAAGCCTTGCGAGTGCGCTGCTACCCCGGTGCATTGTGCCCCCATGTCCTGGTTCCCTGGACCTCGTCTGAAGGACCACAGCTCCTGCCTGAGGCCAGGAGGGCAGGGGAGGAGACTATGAGCTGCCGCATGAGGAGGCGGCTGGGACCCGAGCAGCCTTACCCAAGGGGACAGGAGGAAGCCAACCCTCCAGGAGCAACGGGGGGTGTTTTGTGGACGTGAGGGGGGAGAGACAGGGTCCAGCTCTGCTAGTGGCACTGGAGCTCCTGTGGGAGGGAAATGCCCTTGCTCAGCTGCAGCGCGGCAGGGCCCAGAGAGAGACACCGAGTCCAGGGAGGATGCCCAAAGCTGAGGGCGGGCTCTGTAGGGCAGGAGAAGTGAGGCAGCGCTGCAGGTGTGTGCTCAGGAGACTGGGGAGGGGAGCGGGGGGCAATTATGTTCCTCCTCTTTTGGTGCTTGCAGGCTTTGGAGCTGTTTGGCCAGTGTCACTTCTAGATCAGCTGTACTTCTACTGCTTGACTGCTCTAAAAAACCACAAGATCAGCTTAAAAATAAGAAGCCCCCATGCCCTACGTTACATTTAAGGCTCTTCCTAGAAAGTGCGTTTTGGCTTCTCCTTTTTTCCTGGTGGTTCCTGAGCTACAAGGCTATACTTTGCATTTCCGAGGTCTTCCTCCCAGGCAGGAGGGCCAAACTGTCTGGGCTGTAATGCAAAGCCTGTTGCTTTCATTAACCCTGGATTGCAGGGTGCAGTCCTAACGAGGAGCCCCCAGGCTGTGAGCCCCATGCTAACGGGGTGCAGGCTTTGCTGTGGGGCGTGCAGTCTGTCACTGCTGCTTAAACCCGCTCCAGGGCACCCCTGCATCTCTGGCAAAAGTAAGGAAAACAAGAAGTTCCCTTTCATGCAGGCAGCGAGGCTGGGTGCTCGGCTGGGTGCTCGGCCGGGTGCTTGGTCGGTCCTGCCTCCAGCTGAAGAGCGTTCCCTGCGATGCGCTCTGTTACTCAGCAGCCTGGCGTGCTTCCTCCTCGCCAGCCGTTAGCACCTTGTGTGCGTGGGCTGCTGCTGCGTGCACTTGCCCGCCCTGTCTGCTGGAGCAGCGTCCCCCTGTCCTACAGCCTCGGCAAATGGACTGGGATGGGGGGCTGCCGCCTGGCTTTAGCAAAGCAAATTTGCAGGGAGGGTTATTGGCTTTTATTAAATCAGGCCGTGCAGCTGGGGGAGCATGGGGAAGCAGATGAGTGCTGGGTCACGCAAGCCCTCCCTCTTGGCACTGACTTGGACCCGCATGGCTTCTGACCACGCTGCCATCGCTCCTCCCTTCCCGGCCAGCAGCCCCACCGCAGGCTCGCCTAGCTTTTCGTGGCCCGAGCGCTGGGGAGGAGCGCTGCATGCGTACGTTTGGTGCTCCCAATTGCAGTGACGCTGCTGCTCCAGGACATGTGGGGCTTGCCAGGCACCGTCAGAGAGGAACGCTAACGAAGGCGTCGCGAACGGAGCGCGGGGCGGTTGTGCTCAGCCAGGAAAAGAAGCGTGCTCCCGCAGGGCAGCGGTGTGGTGCGAGGCTGACGCTGCGTGGGAAGGGAACTGAAAGCTCCTCAGCTTCCCCATCCTCACCTCAGCAGAGCCAGACCCAAAACACAGGACACAGCATGCTCTTCTACCACCTTCCATGTGCCATCCTCATTAATTTTCAATTAGCCTCGTGGTTTATGCAAAATTTGCTGCCATTATAGGCACCCAGATCCAAGTCCCCTCACTGACTATGCAACACCATGATTCTTCCAACTTCTGATTTGTCCCAGTGCTGATCTGCTCTGAGGAGGTCCAGGCAACTTCCTCAGAAGACCCGAAGGCTGGGAGAGGCTGCGGAGGAGGGAGAAGCTGCGGGGGAAGGAGAGGGCAAGAGGAGTTAAGAGAGGCGTAGCCGGTGCCCCAGCTGGAGCAGATGTTCTGGACCTTGTGCTGGCACCGCCTCTGGTTTGGGCAGCAAAATGGCATGGGTCATAAGCAGCAGAACAGTGGAAACACAAAACCCCCTCTCCAGCGCCGAGGTTGCTTCTCCCTACGCAGCAAGTATGTGATCAATTTTTTTTTAATTTATATTTTTGTTGCGTTTGGCAGTCAAACCTGTTGGAAACAGAACATTTTTTTCTTCTGACGGTCAGGGAGGGCTGTGCTGTGTTGTATCACCGTCAAGCAAAGGAATTTCTCCTTCCCTTGCGCTGGTCCCTCGCCCGGTGACATGAGTCATCTGCCGAGTGCCAGCTCTGCTCCAGCACAGAAGGGAAACCTCAGCTTCCGCTCCGAAACTACACTGCCTCCAAAACCCGCGCTATTTCTGGTGGCCAGCACAATGTCATGAGACTTGCGGCTCCCCTTGCTTCTGAGCAACTGAAGCGCACATACAGCAGTGGGGACCTGTCGGCTTTCACGCTTGCTGGGTTTGCCCCGGCCGTCAGAGCCCTTCTGAACCTGCCGTTCTCTGCAGGGAGAAGGGAGAGGAAGTCTGGGAGAAGTCTGTCCCATGTTATTTTGGTATTTGTTCTTGTAAGAGAGGAAGGGGTTAACCTTCTTCCCCTTCCCCCCAGTCATCTAGAAGGAACTGGAGGGAGGGGGGAGATACTTAAAAAGTGGAAGGGCAAAATCTACTGAAAGTAAAAGCTTGAAATGCATGAGAAGACAATGTCATGAAGCATAAATGAATTCTTGGGTAGCCGTGGTGCAGAAGAGCTTTGGTTTGTTGAAACCTTGAGGTCTGTGATGGCAGAAAGGGTTGGGGCTGACTCAGCTGCCTGCTGCATTAAGGATCCACTGGGGACCAAACCAACCCTGAAATCATAGACTTTGTTCTCGTTTGAAGCTAAGCTCCGTGATAAAGATCAGGGTGACGTCCGTGAGTCATGAGAAGGTGCTCGAGAGAGACCACGGGAGTCTGAGTCATAAGGAGTTGGGACTGTGTTTGTCCAGAGCGCACAACAAGCCCCACCACTAGGACCTATTCAAAAAGCAGAACACCATTTACTTAGGTGGTGATATACATCCACTGGCCCCAGCTTTGTACAAGATCCAACTTCTTCAAAATATTTACCAAGAAATAGCTGCAACAAAAAAAAGCATTAAAGTTTACCAATATTCTCAAATATTGCAAAATTTGCTGGTGGAACTGTCCTAAAATGAGTCAGAAGGGTCTTGGGATTTTTTTTGTAGTTTCTGAGTTTTCAATATCAAATGCTTTCAGAGAGCTTGATTTGCCAAACTGGGCTGTGCACTCACCCTCGGTCATTCCCCCCACCCTGAGAGCCCTGCAGATCTGACGTGCTGTCAGTCAGCTGTTAAAAATGCTTACCAGTCATTAGGTCTTCAAGTGGGATGATTTAGCGGGAATGACTTTAACTAAATAGCAGAAAAGCAATAGGCAACCGTGCTGCAAGTGCTGACTAGGAATAACCACCCAAAACCGAGGAGTCCTCTCCAAACAGCAAGGCTTCAAGGAGAAGGCAGGGACTCCACAGCCTAATTTAAAAATGGATTGAGCAAACGTGCATTTTTCACTGCCTGATGGGATAGAGGGGAATTCATCAGCAGCCTCATTAGTTTGTAATCCAAATAAAAAAGGATTCCTACGTGGCCAAAGAAAAGATTCTGTATTATGGATAATGCTGCCCTTACCCGTCTTATGTTGTGACTATAGTTGCCAGACTCCTTGTTAACTGAGCATGACTGTTAATTAACAGCTGGGTAGTTAATGCTGTGGAAGAGAACAGCATTGTCTCTGGCTGCAAAGAACAAGGAGCCAGGGCCCAATTCTCTGCCTCCACAACACAGAGGAACCGTACCAGCACCACGTCTGTACAGATTTGCCATTAGGAGGAGTACCCCGATAGGCGCTTCCGAAATTGGGGTGGAAGGGAAACCTGACAGCACAGGATCGGAGTCAGGCATTTGGTGACGATGGGACGGGTTGTTCGGTACCTCGCTGGGTTTTTGGAGAGGCACAGAATGCAGACAGAAGGGCTCCTGCCCGAGTGGGAGGAAGGAGCCGGTCCCCCCGGGCGTGCCGCCGCGTCGCTCAGCAGATGCCTCACTTGGGGTATTTGACAAACTGACACTCTGCACACTGAGTGTCGAACTCAGCTTGTCAAATACACGCAGTGCTGCACTGCAGCTCCCGGTGGGTGTCGCAGAGGTCTTCGCTGGAGCGCTGGCCTGGGCAAACGGGGAGGGAAAGGAAGGGCTGTTAGCTTCTGAGGCTTTTCCAGTTAGCAAACCCCATCGTTATCCCGCCCCTGTTTCCCTGCACAATGCTTTTCTTTGGGTGAGAGAGAACCACATGAGTAGATGCTGCCTTCTGCTGAGCAAAACCTCCACTATATTAATTCAAAGGCTGAAGCTCTATGGAGCTGAAAATGATGTGGAGAACTCCAGCCTAACCTTCTGCCGCAGCTATACGGCTATGTTGGCAGCTTGAAATATTGGCAAAATGCCCATGCAAACACTCAGCCATGCCATCTGGATCCAACATTGTGGGGACCAACGTCTCTCTCTAGACACGCAAAGTCCAGACAAAGACCCAGAGAACACATTGCGGGGGAGCAATTTTGCATTGGACAGAGACAAGGGCATGAGAATTTAACAGACTTTTCACAGCTTTCATTTTTAACCTCCTAAATTTAAACAAGTTGTTTGGGCTTCTCACACTTGATTCCTTCTCTCTGGGTCCCTGTGGTAATCTTGCATTTAAGCAGTCACATATGCCTGAACGTCCTCGTACCGTAAGGTACTTCAGCTAAATGCCCAACCCTAGATAGGTGAACATTTCGGTTGTAACCAGTCTGACAGACAGATCCCGGAGAACATGGGATGGGGCCTCTGCATTTAACAGGTTGGTTGCTCCCTGCATGCCAAAGACAACATTTCTATTGGCAGGAACAGGCTCAGGGTTTTACCTCTTCCTCTACCACTGATAGCTAAAATCGATTTTGTTTACCTAGACCTAAGCTCCGAAGAGGCACCTCTTCAAGCCTGTCCGAAAGAGAGGCACAGCTCTGTCCCCGGGGAGCACATGCAGGGGCTCATCGCTGGCTCTGCTGGAGGCAAGGTCGGATGCCAGCACTGCCTCAAAGTCCAGTGCCACGTGTGTTCGCTTTTGCAAAAAAGCCAGCCACCGCAGCGTCTCGTCCCCACAAGCTCCCGTCCCCATGTCTGCTGCCAGCTGGAAGCTCCACCATTAGGCAGGATGGCTGGAAGGGTCGTGATGCTCAATGAAAGCCAAACTCCACACAGGGAAACAACAAACTTCTGGGATGAGGTGAAACTTTCTCTGCTGTTGTCAAACTACCCCCCCTCTGCTTCCTTTCCAGCAGAGAGAAAAAGCCCCTCCTGCGACAGACAGAGCTTTCCCCCTCCATAGGCTGACACCACCCAGCCTGTACGGGTGAACATGCCCCCCGTGCACGCACACGCTGTTCTTTTGCACAAAGACCACAAGATGCCATTGGTTCCCCTATTCTTTAACAAGAGCGTGCATTAAATGCAGAAATGCACTTAAAGAAAATAGTAATAATAAAATAGCCATAATAAAGTAACCAAGCATACACAAGAGAAGATACTGCTAAGCATTACTGTGCTCCGTGTCCTTCTCAGATGTTACCGTTCAGCATTTCAGGCTAAAAATGGATTTGAAGCTCTGACACCGTGCAACTGTCCTGGAAAAATTCATCACGGCCTCCATCCCACCCCCATTCCGCACAGCACGGCTGGAAAGGGATTCCTGCCCCCTGCACCCAGGCCCAGCCACAGCTGAGCTTTAGGCACGGTGCTCTGCAGCTTCCTTCCCTGGCCCCTGATTTTCATTTCACATGACCAGCAGCACCAGTTTGTGACAAAGCAGCTGCGCTATTTCTAGTATCAAAATGAAAACCAAAAATGACTCTGTTCATTACAATGTGGAAGACAGACCTTCAAAGACACACAAGTGGACTTCAGCTGAGGTATATTAGCAGCATCATACAGGGGGCAGTTTATTCACCCTTTTCTCTCGCTTAATTTCCGGGACTCCTTTACACGGACGGTCATAGGACCCGATCTCATATTACACACACAGGAATACACCTGGAAAGGGCAAGGTTTTTTCCTGTGAAAGCACAGAATAAAAACCTCTAATGTCAAACACGTATTTATACCCGCTCCAAAACCTGCAGAGAGTGAAATAAGATTTAACAGCAAGGGAACAGCTACGGCTTTACAGATAAAATCAGTTTCTAGAGTGGGTTAACTACAAAGGCTTTTCCGTTCTTACATTCCCCCTGCCCGCCACATTAGGCCTTCAGCGAGATGTAGATAGGGAGCAGTTCTTTGTTCTGGCTCCTAATTCAGAATTAATTTCAACCCTGCTAGATAAAAGCATGTCGAAACGGATGAAGGCAGCGTATGTATCTCACGAGCATTAGAAAGCAGTGTCAATACGCTGATGCATGATCAGCCTAGCACAAGGCGTACTGGTTTAAGCCCAATTAAAACGATTTCTGTTACTCGGCTCAAGCCCTTGCACCACTGTAGCGATACTCTCCGCAGCACCGGCTGCCAGAGAGGGGTGCCTGGGCCTTCCCAGTGCTTTGTCACCCTTGCACAAAGGTTTTCAGGTAGCTAAGGCTCTGGGTTAACAACTCCTAACCCAAAATACTCTGATCTGTGGGGTTTAGCACCAGACCAGTCACAAAGACGCCTGGGTCCTTGTGTTGAGCCTGCCTGCCAGCGCGGTTGGTCAGATTGCTCTCCTTCACATCGAGC